TGGTGGCTCACAACCATCCATAATGAGATCTGGCGTCCTCTTCTGGCTTGCAGGCATATTTGCAGACAGACAGAATGCTGTATATATAATAAATACAGTCTTTAAAAATAAATAAATTAGGAGTCACGTCTGAAGCCACGCCTCTAGGATGTGGTCACCACCAAAAGTTCACTGTCAAGCAAGATGCTACTACAGAAAAAGGTCCTTATTTTATTCCTATTTTACATTTTATTCCTATTTTATATTGCATTTCCCCTTTTATTTTTTTGGTATTTTTGAAATAAGGTCTCACTTTGTAGCCAGGATGACTTATACAGCAGCCCAGGTTGGCCTGAAATTTTCAGTTCTGGTCCAGTCTCCCAAGTGCTGGCATTACATGTATCTGCTACTGTGCCCAGCTGTCCAGTTATATGTATGTATGTATGTATAAATTATTATTATTGGTGGAGGGTTTTAAACCCTGGGCCTTCTACATGCTAGGCAAATGTTGTCACTGACCCCCAGTTTTGTGTGTGTGTGTGTGTGTGTGTGTGTGTGTGTGTGTGTGTGTGTGTGTCAGGGTTTCTCTGTTTAGTCCCTAGCTGTCCTATAACTCACCAAGTAGACCAGGCTGGCCTTGAATTCACAGAGATCTGCCTGACTGCCTCGTGAGTGCTAAGATCTCCTCCACCTCTTCCTCCTCCTTTTTTTCCTTTTTTTAAAATTTTTTTTATTTTATTAAGACAGGCCTGATCCTTCTACCTTCTGCCTTCCAAGCCCTAGAGTTCTAGGTGAATACTACTGTTGGTTTTTGTTTTTGTTTTTCTTAGTGATTGTTTGGGAGTTTTGTTTTTTATATCTACCTTATGAGCATGACTCAAGTGTTGTCCAAAACCGTGAGCAGAGGCTGGGCGTGGTTCATAATGCCTTTAGTCCCAGTACTTGGAAGGCAAGAGGCAGGTACATTTCTATGAGTTTGTGGCCAGTCTGGTCTGCATAGCAAGTTCCAAGCCAGCCAAGGCTATAAAGTGTGACCCTGTCTAAAACAAACAAAAAAGCTAACTTAGTGCAGAATTTGCACTGGAATTTGGACTCCTTTCGTAAGACTTTCCTTCCTGAAATTTTTTCCCAGTGACTATGGAACTTGTGACCAACCTCCTCCTCTGCATTTATTTGCTAGGGATTAGGGGATGCAGTAAACTTTGGAGACTAAGTGAGAAAGCCCAGAGGGTCATAGAAAGTCTGCTTAGGGTTTTGACTGGTATCCCAAAAAACAGACAAAAGGAAAGGAAAGGTTACAGTTTGAGTTAGAACTCAGAAAAGTGGGTAGGTGCGGTGATGATCTGTAAATGCCTGCTCCACTGCATAGCAGAGCTCTGTAAATGGCTGGCTGCATCACTGCACAGCAGAAGCTCTTATGCCTGCATCCCTGCACAGCATCAGGGAGGGTTTCTGGGAAGAGTAAGTACATCCTCTCACTAAAGGAATAATTCTTCCTCATCTCCTTAGCATGTCTTTCAGCTTTCCTGGGAAGTGGTCTCCAGGCCTCCTGGTGATTAACAGACCCAGTTGGATTAACTCTTCAGGAAGGAGACAATAGTGGGTCATCTTCTCATCTTAGGAGCAGATCAGGATGTCATCTCCACTCAGGGCCAGAGGGAGAACTCAGTAACTTTACCTTAATGGACTTCAACAAATCCCTGACACCTGCACCTTTTTATTTAGTGTTTTAATTTTGGCAGTTGGTAGGAGGCGGGGGTTAGCAATTGGGATGTTTTCCTTTCTGGTTTATCCAGGAAAAGGAAGACGGTCCAAAATCAGTTATAAGCAGAGTCCATTGTAGGTGTCTCCCAAGGTGACTAATCCCTCTTTGGCTACCTGACATCCCCCTCGAGATTTAAGATCTGTTAGGAGATGGGCTGGGATTAGGACTTACAAGGGTTTAGAATCTCTACTCCTAATAGTATTAGATTGCAGGAGGCCCATGAGTATCAGCTGTAAAGGAGAAGAGATGAAATTGAGACAGCAGTTGAGTACATGAGATCTAGAGATTAATAGATCTTGTGTACCAGGATTATAACAGATAAAACCCATTTCCACTGTGAACACTCTGACATCATTCCCAAAGTTCTTCACCCGAAGCAATGGTGGTGCCTTGGGCTGGAGGTTCAGTCACACTTTCATGCATAGCTTCTAGGCATCTGTGTAAAAGAAAAGAAAGATAGCAAGAATCCAGACCAGGGGCAGACGCCCTAAACACTTCTGACATGTGTGGCCTGAAACAAAGACAAAACTTGTCCATAAGATATATCCAGCTCTAGCTAAGGAAAAAAGATGATGCATTGTCCCCGAAACTACCTGGGAATATCCTGCCTGCTGTCCCTGTCTGCTATGAACACCAAAGTGCCTTCCCCACTGTCTATGCAACACTCCACTAAGTGCCTGTGAGCCCTAAGGGATCAAGGCTGTTTCCCCTCACTCCGCCTTGTCTAGCCTCTGGCAGATTGTCCAAGGAAGACAACCATGAATCTTCTCATCTCATTTATTCTGACATCATCTACCTGGACACAGAATCAGCTCACCGTTTAAGGGCTCAGCCCCATATATGAGCTCTGTCTCAAACCTCAGGTCCCTGAGCCCAGACCCCCAGAACTATAACCAAAAAGGCTGTGTTAGGGGCTTCCATAATATCTATTTTTATTCTATAATTTGCTAGAGCAGTTAGCTCAAGGAGCCCAGGAAATAAGTTCACCCATTCTTCCCTTTGATCATAAATGATATTACAGAAGATGCTAATGAATGGCCAGGTGGGAAAAAGACAGAGCAAGATGTGCAGAAGGGGCAGAAACTCCCCTGCCAACCTTCCAGTCGTGCTTTGGGCTTTCATGTGACCATCCTTGGTCCTGAAGCTATCTAGAGGCAGTCAGCTCATTAGCATACAAAAGATATTCTTATCCTGGAGATTTCAAGAATCTCTAGACCTATGTGCCAGGAAATGAGACAAAGGACAAGTAGGTATTCCAGGTTATCACAGACACTTTGAGGTGAGGACAGAGCTGATGCATACCATCTTTTACACCAAGACTCACCCTCCCTACCTGTGCCTTCTACTGTTCTGTCATCCTGAGTACCTTGGTCATTGATGGGGTACAGCAGGGAGGAACTGCAGAGCCTGTAGTTTTATTCTTAGAGGATTGGCTCAGCAGGACCCTGCGTAGCTGTGCAGAAGCAGAACTCGCCAGTGCCTTACATTGTGCCTCTCTGAAAGTGTGTTTTCAGGAAGGTTCTTGTTGTGGAATACTCCTTTACACTGCGTGAAGACGTGTCACTGTGTTTAGTTTAATAAAGACCTGACTGGCCATTAGCTAGGCAGGAAGAGGTTAGGCGGACAGAGGGCTCTAGGGAGAAGAAAGGAAGAGTCGCCAGCCAACACCGAGGAGCAAGACACGCAGGAGGAGAGGTAAAAGCCATGAGTCACTGGCATCTGGGTTGATGTAAGTTTTAAGAGCTAGTTGAACAAGTCTAAGCTATAGGCCAATCTTTTATAATTAATAATAAGTCTCCGTGTCATTTTGTTTGTGAGCTGGTAGCTCAAAGAAAAATCTGTCTACAGGTTCCATTAAAGAAAACAAAACCAAATCTGAAAATCTACGGCACTTGTCAAGTTTTAAGGCTTAACTCCTGAAACATCCCTGAGAGGCACATCCAGCCTTTGCCACCAGTACCCCCCAAGATCAGAGACCTCGTCCCATCACTCTGTGGCTCTTGTCTGCACAGCTCAGCTCCCCAGCACCCAGCAGATGTAGGATTTTATCAAAGCTCTGTGCAAGGAAAACCCAGTTGTCTGACTGGTACCACTGCTCTTCAAGTGAATAATTTTGATGGATGACTGGGCTAAGGAGGTGTATCGAGCTGAGCTTTTATTTTGACACCTGGTTGATACTTCAAAGAGCCTGGCTGGCCAGGTGTGCACCTCGAGGCATACAGCGATCTAGAATAATGTCATGACCTGGTGTAAGTGGCCAAGCACGTCTGCTGCCAGACTGACCTGCTGGACAAGGAGGCAAGTGATGGCTGAGGTGAGAGGCGCCTCCTGGTTGTGTGAAGTAACCAGAAGGCCTCTGAACCTAGATAGGAACAACATTTAGGACATCTGTTTTGTAAGCAAACTGAAGACAGGAAAACTACTGCCATGTGGACCTTGGTCGTCAGGTTGGGGAGCCCTGGGTCCTACTCTGGATGGCCCCCGTTCTATGGCACGTAGGAACTTTTCTCTCTATGTGGATTCACCCTCTGGGAGAGGTGGGTTCCTCAGGATGGCTCAAACTCGCTGTGGAAGGAAAGAGAATTGATAGAAACTAGAGGTAGGCCGGGTGGTGGTGGCGCACGCCTTTAATCCCAGCACTCGGGAGGCAGAGGCAGGTGGATCTCTGTGAGTTCGAGGCCGGGCTGGACCGATAGCCTCCAAAACAATACAGAGAAACCCTATCTCATAAAAAACCAAAAAAAAAAAAAAAAAAAAAAACTAGAGGTAAACTGCATGTATAGATGGCGAGGTGTAGAACAGGGAAGAGAGCACTTTTTGAGGACTGCCAGAATGGCTCGTGGATAAGGGCACTGACCAGAGTTCAATCCCCTGGGTACGCATGATAGAAGGAGAGAACCAACCGCCTGTGGTGTGCCTGGTCTCTCCTACCACATAAAATAAAATACATAAAATGTTAAGGAAAGCACCGTTTGATCTTTCATGCAAGTGAGGACTGCAAGGTAGATCTGGGTGGTGGTTTGTCCACCTTTGTCCCCCGGAGGGGCAGAGTATTGGGAGTTAGCTTACATCCAAGGAGAATGTTGCACCGTGCTCTACGAGAGGAGCATATTCACCAACAAAGTCCGTAGTCCATTTGTGCATGACCTGAACCTAACCATCTGCACCCCGGGGAAAACTGCAAAAAGCAGACAAATGTACCCTCCGCTTGCCTGCTTGTTTATCAGACTCACCTTCTCAACGTTTTCTTTTTCAGAATCCGAGATGACAGATGCCACTGTGAACCCCCGCTCATTTTTTCTCAGGAATCCCAGTGAAAACACATTTGAACTGGTCCCCCTGTGGGATGAAGAGGAGAAAAATGAAAGCGCCTTGCCTGAGGGCAGGGCAATCTACTTAAACAAAAGCCACTCTGCTCCCGCCCCCTCTGCCCCCTTCATCTCTGAAGACGCCTCAGGGTATCTGACCAGCTCCTGGATGAGGCTCTTCATCCCGTCAGTTTACACCTTTGTGTTTGTAGTCAGCCTGCCTCTGAACATCCTGGCCATCGCGGTGTTTGTCTGGAAGATGAAGGTCAAGAAGCCGGCTGTGGTGTACATGCTGCACCTGGCCATGGCTGACGTGCTGTTCGTGTCCGTGCTCCCCTTGAAAATCAGCTACTACTTTTCCGGCAGTGACTGGCAGTTTGGGTCTGGGATGTGTCGCTTCGCAACTGCAGCCTTTTATTGTAACATGTATGCCTCCATCATGCTCATGACGGTCATAAGCGTTGACCGGTTCCTGGCCGTCGTCTACCCCATCCAGTCCCTGTCCTGGCGCACTCTGGGCAGAGCTAACATCACTTGCCTGGTCATTTGGGTGATGGCCATCATGGGGGTGGTGCCTCTTCTCCTCAAGGAACAGACCACGCAGGTTCCGGGGCTCAACATCACCACCTGCCACGACGTCCTCAATGAGACCCTGCTGCAGGGCTTTTACTCCTACTACTTCTCGGCCTTCTCGGCCGTCTTCTTTCTTGTGCCGCTGGTCATTTCCACCGTCTGCTACATGTCCATCATCCGGTGTCTCAGCTCCTCCTCGGTTGCCAACCGGAGCAAGAAGTCCAGGGCTTTGTTCCTGTCGGCCGCTGTGTTCTGCGTCTTCATCGTCTGTTTCGGACCCACCAACGTCCTCCTGATCACGCACTACCTGCTCCTCTCTGACAGCCCTGCCACGGAGACGGCCTACTTCGCCTACCTCCTCTGCGTCTGTGTGAGCAGCGTGAGCTGCTGCATCGATCCCTTGATTTACTACTACGCCTCCTCTGAGTGCCAGAGGCACCTCTACGGCATCTTGTGCTGCAAAGAAAGCTCCGACCCCAACAGTTACAACAGCACCGGCCAGCTGATGCCGAGTAAGATGGACACCTGCTCTAGTCACCTGAATAACAGCATATACAAAAAGCTATTAGCTTAGGGGAGAAGGATTGCTGGAAGGTCACACAGAAAAGGTTGGAATGGACAGCCCGGGAGCCTGTTAGTCTCTGGCAAGAACTAGATTTACTTCACAAACCACGACTGATTTGCATGCCTACTTCTTACAAGTGCTGTCAAGCATAATTACCAGAAAAGTAATGGGAACCAGAGAGAGATTTCCAATGTTGCCAGTGCTGCGATGGCAACCGTCACTTCTTGTATATCTAGGTGACTTAAATATACAGATGGTATGCACACACATATTTGCAATGCAGTATGGAATCAGTGCTTTGATACTTTCTTGTTTATTCCCTACCAATTACTATGGAAATAATTGGATTCTCTGAGTTAATAAACAAAGTCTGTTTTGGTGGATGTTAACACTGAACAGCTGAAGGTATCTAATGATAGGGAAGGAGTTCATAGTTTAGACCTAACACAGCTTTTGCCCATATATATATATGTATATATATTTCAACTATTTGATGGTAACGTTTAAACAATAGAAGGGTGAAACAGTATTATCTGTGTAGGAGAAGATCTCGTTCTTTTCATCTTGAATTACCAAAGCAGTTGGAAAGCCCATTTTGATATGGGGTATCATTTTTTCAGTTTACATGCTAAATATATGGACCAAGACTAAGCATAAAACTCACCAGGATCATAAGAAACCTTACAAAGCAGCCAAAGTCTGAGGAGATAACTTGGCACAGCCATCTCCATGGGGGCCTCTGAACAGCAGATGCATATTTATCCAGCTGTGCCTCCCAGAGAGCAGTGATGGGGACCACCAGGCCCACTCCTTCCTCCTAGGCATCCCATTAGCTATGAGTTGACTATATCTGCTTGAAGCTGGCAAGATAGGATATGACATCCTGGGGGGGAATAACTACAAAAGTCGCCCGCACATCTGAGGAGCAGAGAAAGGTGTGTTTATATCCAGTAGCTGCCCTGAAAGGCTGCCTCTTGCACAGACACACACACCCATGTGGCCTGGGCACTCTGGTAGATACTGGGCCTACAAACTCACCGACTGCGGAAGATTAACTGAGTCTTGCCTTTACTCAAGCAACTCAGAAAGCTGACATGGCCAACTCGATGTATGCACTGCAAATACACCATTGTACATAGAAGTGTCTTCAGCCACACATCACCAAGCGTATTTCACATAAGTAAGGCCTAACAGCTAAACAGCTTTGGATATCTGAGTTTCTGCTTCAGTAGCTGTAGGTTAGGATAAAAACACAGTTTAAGATGTATATTTTTAAGAAATAAACCCTTAAGTCTACAATAATTAGACACTATTTATTTACAGATATTTTATTAAAAATTATCCAAATCAGCCAGGCATTGTGGTGCATGCCTTTAAGCCCAGCACTTGGGAGGCAGAAGTAGGCAGATCTCTGTGAGTTCAGGTCATTCTGGTCTACATAATGGCTTCTAGGCCATCTAGGGCTACATAGTAAGACCTCCGCTCAAAACAATTATGACATCAGAACAAAACAAAAACACCTTTTTAGAAAGCAAGAAAACACAAAAAGTTTTACCTGAACCCAGTTTTAAGAAATATATAGGCATTTTCCCTAACAGTTAATTAAATTATTTTAAAAGCATTTTCAATGCCACTGTGACTAATAAGCATATGAAAATCTTCATGGCTTTGACAAAGTAATTTGAAAATTAATTTGAAACATATACTTTTCCTGATTTAAGAACTATGTTGGCATTTTAAGCAAATAAAGGAGAGTAGAAAGGGTACATGTTTATTTAAGAGAACAAAGTATTTTCAAATATTGTAGAATAGCTTCCATGAAGGTCCTGTAATTATACTGTTAACTCAGTTACTGTATTGATTTATAGAAATCATCCGCTCACTGTTATATGTTCTGTCTGTGACGTAATATAACTATCATTGTACTTGCGAACTTTGGTGTCACTGTTTCGTGTTCACTCTTTTTTAAAAATATTATATAACATATTAATAAACATGAAAATGTGCTTGGTGTCTATCTGGAACAGATTATTGTGGGCCCTGGTGGGAGAGCAGAGGTGCTTTATGGAGGTGGAACTAGGGTTTCAGGGTGAGTAGGGGACGGGGAGGGTCCCCAGAGGCTATAGGTCAGGGAAAGCCCTTACCATAAACTAATCCCCTCTACAAGACCCTGCCACTCCTTGCTAGTGCTTCCCATTTGTGCTGTGTGTGTGTGTGTGTGTGTGTGTGTGTGTGTGTGTGTGTGTGTGAGATCCAATCATCATGATGCCATTTCCATACCTGTATATAGGGTACCTTGATCATCTTTACATCCACCACCTCCCTTACCCCACTCCCTCCCTCACCCTCTGACTGCTCCACAGCCACCGCACCCCCACTCACACCCTTCACTGTCATGTCCTTTCTCCTAAATGACACATATGAGCTCAGCCACAGGGTCAGACGCCAAGAGCACCATACATGAGCTTCCTTGGACATGGAGAAGGGATCTAGGGGAATAAGAAGAGAGTGGAGAGGAGAGTTCAGCGTGGTTTCTGCAAAGGCATTCACTGGACAGTTATCTTCCTGTGTTTTAATCCTCTTTTGGGGAAATTGATGATTCTAACATTGAAAACACATTCAGTCCCGCACTTAGGCACCTGAGTGACTGCCCTGCACCAAGTAGCATTCTTGGGGTGAAATCAGAATGATGCTTAGCCTTGAGAACTGAAAAATCAATAAAGTTTCAGCAGTGTTTCTGGACTCATAGTCAATTTTTAAAAAATATTATTTCACCTAAACAATCGTTCTGTTAGCACAAAGACTTGTCAGCGTGAATTTTCTAAGGTCATACAGCAGAAATTAGGCAGGTAGTGGTCTCAGCGCAGGAAGCCCCAGCCTTGGGACCCTGCTTCTAGCCAGAAAACAACCTCAAACTCTATTACAACTTTTCAGAATATTCTTGAGCTCAAATAACACTTGAATTTTATCAACATGAAATGTTTGTGTTTTCCACCACCAAGTGAAAAATACCATTTTTCGAGGAAATGAACCATCCATCTGGCTGTTGAATAGGTAGTTGGAAATTTTTATGTATGCTTCATTTGAAGAAATTAGAGAAGCAGCATGTCCTTGAGGAAGCCTTGAATTTCAGAAGCCAACGGAAAGACAGCTTTAAGCATGGTCTGTGAGCCAGCTGTTTCCATTCTGAGGCCTGGGCCTTCCCCATACAGCTTTACCTTCTTCACAAAGGGCCCAATGACGGGGCACATCCACACATGTATGAAACCCTCAATAATTAAGGGGAAGGACTGTCTCCAGCGGTGGCCACCAGTATCATCGGTGCTTTGAGTTGAGCCTTCCAAAGTTACTAGACCAAGTGTGTGTGGGGAGAATTGGCCCCGCTATAAGACAACTGGAGTTTTCTATAGGAGAAGCAGTTAAGTGAGCTATGGTCTGAGGACAGAGAGACCGGTAAGGTCATTCTCAGAGACACCTGTGAGGTCAAGACTAAGTGGGAACATTGACCTTTCCTGAGTGTACAGCTGAGTTTTCCAGAGGCTACTTGTCATGTGACAGCCACTGATCTCTGAGGCAGACAGGAAAATGTCATCCACTGAGCCAGGCTTTAAAGAGATTATAAAAAGATACAAACACGGGGGCGGGGAGGGCCTGGAGAGATGGCTCCGAGGTTAAGAGTGCTTTTTGCTCTTTCACAGGTCCTGGCTCAGTTCCCAGCACCCACACAGTGGCTCACAAACTCTTGTAATTCCAGTTCCAGGGGATCCAACACCCTCTTCTGACCTCTGAGGGCATCAGGCTCGTACACAGCACACACGTCCACGTATGAGCAAGAACATCTGTCTCCAGACGCTGGAGAGAATTGTTCTCAAGCACAACTTCCCAAGCTTACTGACTTCAAGAACGCAGAAACGCAGGTCTGGTGGCTCTACTAGTAACGGTGCTCAGTGCCCGGGCGGCTGAGACAGGAGGATCACTAGGCGTTTCAGACACCATGAAAAGTTCTGGGCTGCAGTGTAATCCTACTTCCCAAAAAGAGGAGGAAGACTTGGAGGAGGAGGAGAGGGAGGGGGAGGAGGAGGAGAGAGAGAGAGAGAGAGAGAGAGAGAGAGAGAGAGAGAGAGAGAGAGAGAGAGAGAGAGAGAGAGAGAGAGAGAGAGAGAGAGAGAGAGAGAGAGAGAGAGAGAGAGAGAGAGAGAGAGAGAGAGAGAGAGAGAGAGAGAGAGAGAGAGAGAGAGAGAGAGAGAGAGAGAGAGAGAGAGAGAGAGAGAGAGAGAGAGAAGAAAAAGAAGAGAAAGGAAGGAGGGAAGACAGACAGACAAGAAGGGGAGAGAGAAGGGATGAGCATAGGAGGATGTAAAGGTAAATGAGAGGGGGAAGGGAGAAGAAGAAAGATGGAAAAGAGGAATAGAATTGGAGGCAAGAGGGGGAGGAGTGGGGAAGGAAACAGAGCAAGATCATTGTATTTAGAGCAAACAGGAGGAGACCATTACGTCACTGCTGGCCACCAAGCTGATGTTCTGGCTGCCTCATGACTAAGGGGACTCATGCCTTGAAGCAACAAATTATAGACTTAGTAGACTCACGGCAGGCACGGTGTGTGTGACCCATGGGTCGGGAGGCAGGCACGGTGTGGCCCGTGGGTCAGGAGGCAGGCACGGTGTGACCCATGGGTCAGGAGGCAGGCACAGTGCGGCCCATGGATCTGGAGGCAGGTGCCGTGGGTTGGGAGGCTCTGCTTTTCAGCTAGCTTCTGCCTAAAAGGAAGAGATGAACTTTTACTATGATCTCTAGCTGTCAGGGCAAGAGGCAATCTAAAACAGCAGTGATCTCCCAAGCGTCGTCCTGAGACGCCAGAAAGCAGGCCGAGTGTGGTACTGCACACCTGTTACCCCAGTCCTTGAGGCAGACTCAGGTTCAAGGCCAGCCTGGTCTCAAAACAGCTGGGGAACTCAAGGAGTCATAAGGCAGCTAGCGTTTGGGCCTGCAACCCTGGGCACTCAATGGGCACTGGACGCTGCTCTTTTAGAAACACGTGGGAAACCAGAGATCGAATTCAGCAACTTCTTGGATTTCAGATCAGACAGCACTTGCCCAGTGATTTCTCTCCAGGTGGCTACCTGTTTGTTCCTAAAGGAAATGACTCAGCCAGGAGGGAGATTAGCCTCAAACGCTGCATCCACAGTGGTCTGAAGCCTGGCCTGGCCATCCTAGTGACTTCAGCATAGACCATAGTAACCAGGCTGGCCTCAAACTCACAGAGATCCACCTGCTTCTGCCTCCCGAGTGCTGGGATTAAAGGCATGCGTAACAGTACCTTTTTAAGGTGCTGCTGAGCAACCAACTTGGGGGGCTGAGACAGTCCACACAGCGGCACAGTGGTCAGACAGTTGCTTCGCTATGCTTTGGCTCCTTTCTTATCCTGAGACACATAGTTACTCTTGACCTGCTGAGGTGATGAACACAGCTCCCCAGAAAAAGAAGGAGACAAGAACATCCCTTCCGTTGGGTTTTAGACATTTCTGTAGTGCTGAGGAATTAAACTTAGAAGATCACACATGATAGGGAAGCTCTTTCCCACCCAGCTACATCCCCAGACAGGTTCATTCATATGTTAATCACAGTATAGTTTTACTTTATTTGCATTGGTGTTCTGCCTGCATGTCTGTCTGTCTGTGTGAGGCTGTAAGATCTTGGAATTATAGACAGTTGTTAGCTGCCATGTGGGTGCTGGGACTTGAACCCAGGTCCTCTGGAAGAACAGTTGGTGCTCTTAACCACTGAGCCATCTCCCCAGCTAATCACAGTATGTAATACTTAATTAAGAAACGTAGAATCAAGGGCCTCAGACTTAGAAAAAGTTTGAGTAGTTCTGCCTTACTAGAAGGGAGTTTTGGAAACTTCTTGTCAGTTCTGAACCACTAGAAAACTCCTAAACAAATCTAGCGTCCCCACCCCACACCCAACCACTCTGAGTCACAGCCTTTAGGGAACTGTGCCTGAGCACCCATCAGAACTGTTTGGTCTCCATAGGCCAGACTTGACAGCATGACTTTAAACAAATGTTTGGGGACTGGTAGAGCATTAGCCTAGCCTGTGACGGCCTCATTTCCCAGCACTACGAAAAGTAAAAGAAAGCGTGTTCAGCTCTACCCTCTGGGGACCTACTGAAGCTGCAGGCTCTGAGCTGTAGGCCTGGGTCAGGGCTGATGCACATCTAACAGCATTTTAGGAAATGTTAAAGTTGCTGGACTCGGGACTACACTTTGTGCAGCAAGACCCTAAGAGCCAGCTTTGCAAAGTTAGCTCATTTTGAGGTCCAGTCACCCACAATATGGAATTCTTTGGTCCTTAACAATTTTCGGAACAACTATTTTATTGCAATAAAACTGAGGCAGTTTGGTTGTTGTAGTCACTTTTGTTGTTTTGAGACGAGGTCTCACTGTGTGGTCCAAATGGACAACACTGCACCACTACACTGGAGCCATTTATAAAGTAGCAGTAGCATGGTGCTTAATTCAGCTTACTTCAAACTTGTTTGAGGTGATATCCATCTTCCTGTGGGTTCCCTCCCTCTTAAGTCCCCCCACCCCCAGAGTTGAGTGGGGAAGATAGTGTAAAGGGGCTCTTAGGAGTATTGACTGCCCTTTTTAGAGAGAGTGCCCAACAGATAGTCCAAATTCTGGGAGGCCAGAAAACAGATGTTTTCCCACTGGGGAAACTGTTTCACACCGGGTCTGGCTGAAATATGGTGACCCCGGGCACACACATTCTAGTTAACATCAGGAATGTCATCTTGACCATGCTGGAATGGGAGCGATACAGACCCTGAGGCATATGACTCAGTCCAGGGTTCGTCAGCAGGGATCAGTGACCCCATGGTGCCTGGGAACAACAAAGGGCTGAGATCCGCTTTGGAAATACGCACGCGCAGCATATACAGAGAAGGCTGGGGCACCCTCTTCACTGTGTACCACCTTAGAAGCAGCTGGTGGGGGCGGGGGAC